TATTTGCGTTGGAGAATGAAGAGTGAGTCGGAATTACCAGAGAAGAGGTAAAGTTTTTTTTTTCGGCTGTAGAAGTGATTTTTTCGGGGCCAAGCATGATTTGGGCATGTTTTTCAGAACATACGCGGTATATCGCACTGCAGATGTGTTCGCTCCATTAAATAGGATGGGTTATAGGGTGTGTGATTGCTTGTAGTCTCGGCGTTTGTGCGCGTTTTTAACGGGCGATTTCACCAGGAAATGGGGTAAAAGTTAATCAAGTGGTGGCTCTAATTAAACGGAGGAAGGAGGGAGTGGCGTACTCTTGGCGGGAGATGAATTAGAGTCGGAAGGAACATCTTGACCAAGAGCAAGAATGAAGTTTTCCAGTTGAGATACTCTTGAGGCGGCTTTATCTCGCTCCGCTTTCAGCTCCTGAATTTTCGTCTCCTGTGTTGCGGATACAGAGACGAGAATGGCTAAGTGGAGTAGGGAATAAAGGGAAGCAGTTTAGTGTCGACGTGCACAAAGTATAGAATTCCACTTTGCAAAATAAGCGTTGCGTCCACGAAATGGTCTAAAGCAACATGTCCTGTGCTACGATGGTATCGACTTCTTAATTTGACAGGATGATTTCCCTATGCGGCCATAAGGGCTCGGTTTCGCGCAAATAAGAAGTTTGCTTATCGCCTTGGGAACGTAAGCGAGTAAGCAAACCGAAGTTTATAAATCACAATTCACACCTTTTCCATAGAAATTTGACTACTGCATTTGTAAGTCGTTCGTGTCAAGATTGGAATTCACTTGTTTCATCAAGCAATTGATGAACACACTGTAGCAACAAAGATCAAAATATTCGATGAACTAGGAATAACTGTTATCTGAACCGAAATAAAGCAAGAGAAAGCACAAGAAGTCTATGACATCCCTTCTTAATGCTGGTTTAGTAGTCTTGATAACTTAATGATTGTAGTTGAGGAGTACAGAAGCATACAGCGGCTGAGCAGGAATGACCGCTCCCAGGAGTAGAAATAACACGGATCGCGCCCTATGCCCTACGCCGTGGACGCATGGACGGGGGTCGATCCTGTGGCTTGTACGACGGGACCACGCCTGCCCAATTCGGACCGCCCACCAACCAGTCCACTGTGGCTTAGACGACGCATGCATAACCTAGCGGTTCTAAGTGAGACCATGATCCAAACATCAACCATCCGGGCATGGATCAGTTAGGTCAAACACCAGTATCATTGCGGTTATCCAGCTATCCTGGATTGTGCTCACAGGAGATGAATAGCTTTTCTGCCAACTTTCCCTTGTCTGATCCAAATGGTACAAATATCACACTTTCCTTTTACAAAGCTAAGAATGCATTGGGCCGTTCTTACTTCAGTAATGCTTATAGCCTCTACTGAAGTTGGAATATGAGATGCCAACCATTCCAAAGATACTGCAAAATGCAGAACGATTAGTACCTAATGTCGGTGAGTTGCTCGTATCGGTCAGGAGCTTTTGCCTTTACGAAAAGCACGAAATGGTATAGAGTTTTGATTGGTAGATAAAATATTGGCCTTCATTGGGCTTAATTTACCATTAGCAATACGAACAACGCGCCAGAGACGAAATAGCACGAGGAAACCAGCAGCTTCGGGGAGAGATTTAATACCACTCCTTAGGGTTGTTTCGGGCGCGGACGTTGTTGTCATCGCGAGAGTATGCGAAGTTGAGAGGCTTGAAATAGGATGACGGTGGTTCTCTGTCACCATCAGGTAGACGTCGATGCCAAAACTGACACATATAACTACCGCATCGATGCCCTCAATTAAGCTGTGCAGATACAGTCCTATGCCAAATATCCAGAGTTTAAGGACAATTTCCGCCAAAAAGAGGGAGACTATACTCAAGCTTATACACTCAACACCAAATTTAGCTAGTTCCAAATTCTTCGTGTGACCTGGATCCTAAAAAAAAGAAAATATTCAAATAACGTCTGCTATTATTGGTGAGGCAACTGTCTACCGGTGTCGCTCTTTCAACCGTTGTGGAGTTAGAAAGCGCATAATTTTACAAACTTAGCTTTTGACCTCGGTGCAGCAAAGGATATTGCAACCCCTCATTAAGAGAGCGCCTTGCAATAAGACCGTGTGCCCGCTCCCTCTGTCCTCCCCTCTCCTTCATCCCCCGTTCCCTGCATGTAAGTGTCACCGACTGTGAAAGGGGTGAAAGTAGCTTGTCAACGACAACGAAAGCTAGTTTGGAGGTGCGCAAGCGCAGTATGAAATTAGTGGATTGCCGCCTGGTGCTTGATGGTTCGGAAGCAAAACATCTGCCCTGTGGGCGTTCGATGCACTTTAGTGATCAGTGCAGTCATTCCCACTGCCATTCGAATTTCAACGAATCGCATCGCCTTCTCACATTCCCAACAGAAAACTCTGATAGAACCACCGATGGATGCACCAAATCATCCAAGCACAAGATCTGTAGCAGAATTTAATTACTGATTGCATGAAGCCACAGCAGAAAACTTGTTTGAAATTTAGTCAGTACTTCAGCAAGTGGCTAAAATTTGCGTAAACCTACAACAACCCTCCAAAACAGTGTTGCCGAAAGTTTACAAAATTTACAATACCGTTTTATATTTGGAGCTAACTAAAAATCTCATTTTCAATTGCTTCATCATAAGTTAGACGAAGTACTTTAATTTAACCAAAGTATCATCCTTGACGAAGACAACTATTTTGACATTGGGGAGAAGCATAGAAATCCACATTTCGGTGTACAACTGCCGCAAAATTCCTCAGACACTCCAACAGAAAGATGAAAAAATATTAACGATGAGGAATGGGAGGCTGTAGTGAGAGATCGAGTCGGGCTTAAAGAATCACTATCGTTTTAGTTAGGAGGAACTGACAGTCGCGTTGATAAACAAAAAAAACTTGAACGGTCTTCCCGAAAGCTTTCTGCCTCAAAACGCGAAGCATTCAATACATTGCAGTGTAATGAACTGGAAGGTGAAAGAAGCTGCATGCAAGCCCATTTATGACTACAAAAGAGAGGAGGGAGACTATCACTACTGTGGCACATTTGCCCACCTCAATGAAATCCCCGATAGCTTTGAGCAAGCGGTGGCATTGCTGGTGGAGAAAGGAATGGAAGTGAGGAAGGAGGGACTCTGTTTCCGAGAGCGGTTGAATTAAAAGCATCATTCAACTGATGAACAGACAACTTCCGAAATTTATGGGAAAAAGATGCATTTATAGATGGATAGTCATAAATCACCCTACTGTTACCCCGCGACTGAGGTAGCTGTACACATTTCGTCTCAATCCACCCACGCTGCCGTGTCATCTCAGGCATAAATGAGTCGTTGGAAATTCGTTTTCATCGCTGTTAAAATCTGCCTACAACTATTCCATGCAGGCGAACAAATCCGCTGTGAAGAGCTTGTGCTCTCGACTACTGGTTTATTGTGTATCAAAGTGAGGTAAGAGAAGTTGGAGTTTGCTAGGAAATGTAGGGACTGTGAACTTTTTGTCGGTTGGCTGGATACAGTAGACAATGAGAAGACAAAACGAGTTTGGAGTAAGTGATAGAAGCTCCTATTTAGGCTAAGAGGATGGTTCCATGTTCTCTGTCACTGCACAAATTATTATCCATTGGAGAATGGATGGCGTGTGCAGCAGTCCTCATCGAGGTGCGCACTTGGATTTGGTGCACCGAATCGGGAGGCAGAGACCCTACCTGCAACCGATTGTTCAGCCTATGACAACACTTGCAACAGGTTGTGCCTTACAGAGGCATCAAATGCAAGCCCAATTGACAGGTTACAACATCAGATCGAGCATACGGTCTCAGTGGAAGATAACACACTGCA